ACGCCCGGCCTGTCCTTTTTTTTGAGATGGAGTTTCATTCTTGTTGCCCAGGCTGGAGTGCAATGGCAGGATCTCAGCTCACTGCAACCTCCACCTCCCAGGTTCAAGTGATTCTCCTGTCTCAGCCTCCCAAGTAACTGGGATTACAGGTGCCCACCACCATACCCAGCTAATTTTTGTATTTTTAATAGAGACGGGGTTTTGCTATGTTGGCCAGGCTGGTCTCAAACTCCTGACCTCAGGTAATCTGCCCACCTCAGCCTCCCAAAGTGCTGGGAGTACAGACATGAGCCACTGCGCCTGGCCAGATTTTAGTGTCTTAACCAACAACCTAATAAAGGGCTTATAACAGCAGCTGACAAATAGTAGGTAGTGTTATTATCATGAAATTGAGAATATGCCTATTAAGCTAAAAAAAAAAAAAAAAAAAAAGGATCTTCTAAATCCAAGTCCAGTGCTCTTGACACAGTACTGTGCAGGGCAGGACTGGCCCACCCAAACGCCTGGGAGGAGCTGGCAGGCTAACAGGGGAAGCACACACATATTGGCAGCATATCTAAAGGAGCTGGGCCATGCCCATTTCCAAAGCTCCAAGCATGGAAAGCACCTTAATTGGAAGAAATTTTGGGGGAGTAGAAGTGGAATAAGGGAGGCAAATGTAAGTACATGTTACAGTTAGATTCTGAGAGGGAATTCTTGAAAGAGCTAGTTACTTGTCTGAAGCAAACGGGAAACAGATACTTCTCTCAGCAGTACAACGTACTCATTCGGTCTTTCTCTATAATTTTCATTTATTGAGCACCGACTATAAGCCCTCTGCTGGGGTTTCATCATCATGTGGGTGATCTCATTGTCAGAGTGATTCCACACTGCTCTGGTCTCTCCAGCCACAGCCCAGGACATTCCACAAAGCACGAAGCAGGAAAGAGGAAACAAGTTCACTTACCTGGCCTGCCAGGTTGAAGTAAGAATGGTTGGTCAGATTGACTGGTGTGGCCTGACTAGCCTGTGCTCTATAGTTAACCATGAGCTCCCCGCCATCCAGGGTGTATGTCACCCAGACTTTTAACTCTCCGGGGTAGCCTTCCTCACCGTCTGGACTGACGCGCGAGAACTGGACGCCATTGGACAGCACCCGAGGGGTCCAGAGCACCTGGAAAAAAGTGTTTTCAAGGTTGTGTAATTGCTCCAACCTCAGGCTAAATGCCACATCTCAATATTTAAAGGCAATTGATTCACAAGGAAAATGGTTATACAATCAATTAAGACTTCTGAATGATAGCTTGGATTTTTTTTTTTTTTTTGAGACAGGGTCTCACTCTGTTGTCTAGGCTGGAGTGCAGTGGCGTAATCTCAGCTCACTGCAACATCCACCTCCCAGGCTCTAGTGATTCTTGAGCCTCAGCCTCCTGAGTAGCTGTGATTATAGGCATGAGCCACTGCACCCAGCTAATTTTGCATTTTTCGTAGATAAGGGGTTTTACTATGATGGCCAGGCTGGTCTCAAACTCCTGACCTCAAGTGATCTGCCCGCATTGGCCTCCGAAGGTGTTGGGGTTATAAGCGTGAGCGACCGCACCCAGTCCCTGGATTTTAATTATTCCAAATTTTTGGTTTTCTCTACCTACTCACACTCCCCATTCTCTTATCTCTAACTGTATACATATACATGTGTCTACAATATTTTCCTCTCCTCTTCTTTGATGATTTTT